TCACCATATTGATTTACGGCCGTCGCCATGTTGTTTTTTTGCATCCTATGAACGGAAGTTTCCATATTTAGAATGCAGATGTAGACACGTAGAGACGCCTTATTTGCTCTGGTAGCGGCAGAGACCTGTCAATCACTGTGTAGCCCTGCCCTAAAGCATCCCCTGCTTTATGGTCTGTTTGACTCTAAATGGACCATAATGTACTAAATGAACATCATGCTGTATTGAAGAAGACTTGAAACTAGAGATTGAGACCATAAACTCATGTTTACAATGTTTACTGAGGTAATAAATCAAGAGAGAAGTAGAGTCATTTTCTCATAGACTTCTACACAACCAGAGGAGTCGCCCCCTGCAGTATTCCTGCAGTACTAATCGATTAAAGAAACAGAGATCAGTCTGCAGAGAGAGACCGTGTTGAACCTCATGGTGCTGAATTCATTCGGACCTAAAACGACCTCAGTAGAATGTAATTTGAGCTCTCTGGACCCTTTCTTCTCAACTGCTCCGTCAGGTAATGTCGGGCAGTAAATGGTTCAAAACATATCTTAAAGCAGGGTCAGGAGGGGTCGGGCTCCACGATACATCCCAACTGTCATGGAATGATTAATGGGACAGGAAATCAGAAAGAAAACTGAACACCTGCTTCACAAAATTAATATTATTCATTTATTCGATCTTTGCCTTTTTATCTCGTGAAGAATTTGACCTTCTTAAGTTGTTTCTTCAAATAAAACGAACTGAGAGTGAACATTTTAACTCTTTAGTGCTGGCATGTTGACGTTCCCTTTTGAAGCACAAACGTTGGGAAAGACTGGCTTTAAATATGTTATACTGTAAATACTGTAATATGTAGAGTCATTAAATCCAGAACAGCAGAAACATTCATCTTTACCAAAAGAAGTACCTTTTGCTCAGCACAGAGTACAAATTGTAAGCAGGTCTTTTATGGCCGTTGGCAATGCTTTCCACACATTTTGGGAGATACCATTTATGGTGGAGAATGAGATGAAGAAGATTGAAACCACTCTCATGTCTGATGAAGATAACACAAGTAGCCGATTAGCTTCACACAAAGACTGGAAACATGAGCAAACAGCTGGCCCGGCTCCGTCTGTTGGTTAATAAACCTCTAAAGCTCACACATATACATTTTGTATCTGTTAGTTTAACATGTAGAAAAGACAAACATGTAAGAATGACAGTTCTAAAGAGGGTTATGTGCCGGACTCTCTCTTTGCTTGGACCAGTAGCTGGAGTCTCAAACTGGTTGTCTGGCAACTGCTTATAAAACAGGCTAGCTGTTTGCCACTCTTTCCAGTCTTTGTGCTAAGCTAAGCTAACCGTCTATGACAGATATAAGAATGGTATCGATTTTCTCAACTACATCCCAACGTGAAGAAGTGCGTTTTTGCCGAAACAGAAAACATTGTCAATTAGTCCTCCTAACCTGAGGGGGCGTAGCGTCCTGAGCAGCCTGAGAACTCGGAGAACCCCGAGGATCTTCGCCCCGCCGGCCATCGACACCACAATGTCAGTGAGAGACACGAACACGAGGAAGCCGTCCAGAATGTTCCAGCTGCTCCTCAGATAGGCCTTCTCTCCCAGGTACAGACCCATGGACACCACCTGAGGAGATGAAGGGATATGGACTTTTGATATTCAGATTTCTCATCTAGCTTCTCAAATATATTTCATTTCATGTCAGCTGCTTTCAGCAGGAGAGCAGAACAGAGGAGAGGATTTGAAAGATGGGAGGCTGAGAGGTGTGTGAGGGAGGGAGCGAGGTTTTAAAACCAAACAGATGAAAAGAGGGAAGAAAGACAAGCAACAGCTCCTAAACCCCAATATGAGAAGATTAATGTTCAGATGCAAGAGGGAAGGAAAAAAAGGACATGAGGAAAGGAAAGGAGATTACAAGGAAAGCAAGTCTACTATGAAGTGGAAATCTCCAACACGGGACCGTCTACCAACACGTCCACATTCTAATGAAGCTTCATCGTTATTGGAATGTTGAATCCAAAGCAAAATCACAGTTTGTTTGCCGAGTTAACCAGCTCTTTATTTTGCTGACTGTACTGTAACTGGGTGAAATGTCTCTGATTAAAACTTCCAGAGAGCAATTCAAGAAAATAAAAGCTCTACTTTCAATTTCAGTTAAGGCATGCAGGATTGTGGGCTGCTGACATTGCACTATGCCCCAAATCCTCTTAAATCAGACACTTCCACACAAGGCTAAATACTCGGACGGTGTTGTGACTGGAGCTGCAACCATTTGAAGCGCACATATTTCAGTTTTTGTCTTAGATTTATGGTCTGTCACCTTCTAGCTACAGCTGGATGGGAGGTCTCGCTCACTAGGTGAGCCCTATTGGGGATTGAACAGGAAAGGGAGGGAGGAGGATGTTCTGGAAGCAACAAGGAGGGTGCGGGTGAGGTGAGGGAGATCAACACTTTTGTGGAAACAGTGAGACAGCTCTCATTGGGAGGAATGAGACGTGGTAGTCAGGGGCGGAGGAGGACACAATGCGCTCAAAGAGGAGAGAGAAAGTTTTGAAATCAGAAAACAGTTGGTGAGGTTGGAGGAAAAGTTTTACGGCAGATGTTTTGACATCTTCCAGGTGCTTTCATGGCATGTGTGTTTCATGTGTGGCTGTCATGTCGAAAACAGAACGAACAAAGAGGCAAAAAGAAAATGCCACCAGAGAAATGTGGAAGGATGGGAAATTCCAGGAAATGTTGGAACAAGTGTGACGGTGTTTGTGCATCTTGTTTGGGAACGCCGACCAGGCGTAATGATGGCACACTGCAGCAAAATAAGCTACGGAAAATCTTCTGAGTATCATGTAGGTGCCACCTGTAGGCTTGAAAGCGAGGCTCGGAACACTTTGTAGCATGCTGCTTCATGAGCTGATGGATGGAAGGATTCAGACGATCATGGCGTCCAATAGTGACTCATAGTCGTCATCGAGAATGGGTCAAACTACAGCATATGAAAACATCCTCTGACACTTCTGCAATCACTCCTATTTATACAGTGGAGCTAACTCGTGTGCAGACTTCCGTCTAACACAAAATATACCACAACAGACACCATGCCAACTGTTGCATCCTAACTCTATAGAAATAATGTAGAAGCTGGGCGGCAAAGACAGAAAAACAAGGAAATTGGATGAAATGAAGCCAAAGTGTAAGAGAAACAAAGACAGCTAGAGAGAGATGAAGAAGGAAACGAGATGTGTAAGTCAGAAAGCTGAGTGAAGTAGTCAGTTTGCAGAATTCCACGCAGCTTTGTTGAGGAACAGTCAATCCTTCCAAACCTCTAACTATATATAAGTACTATAGTAAATATTTCATCTGAGATCTGCACATCAGCGAGTCACAGTCACATCCTATACGATGGGCCTTCTGTCATGTTTGACAGGCTGGATATCGAGTTATAATACATCTGCTATGATATTAATAGCCGCCTGCTTTACCAAAGCCCCGTCGGGACTGTTGGAATGCCGTGGGGCCGGCATTAAGCGGATCAAACATCGCCAAGATAAAACATGATGCATGGTGAATCTATGGCAGGGCGATGCCAGCGCTGTTATCAGAGCCTCTCACACTGCCAGCTGGGCTTTTGGCTGACGGGCGAATATGTCACTTTACATTCAAACTTAAATTACATTCAACAAACCTTACAACTATACATTCTGAGCTTCTCAGTGCAACTAGGAAGCCACGATCGATTCATCTGAGACCAACAATCACGTGACAAGAAGTCTGTGAAACGTTGACTGAACTGCTGCTGAACACAGAGAGGAGAGGAGAGGAGAGGAGGGGAGAGGAGGGG